AGTTGATTAAACCGGTAGTGGTTCAGTGGGAAGAGCCATTTGGCAAGGCAAGGCCTATTGCTGATCCAGCAATTCATAAATAACTGGCACGCTTTAAATTCAGCCCGCCTGAGCCTAAAATGGCAAAGCAGACCACAGAGGCTACACAGTCAAAATGGCAACAATCTCTGCGGAGAGATGTAGGCAATGTCTCTATACATACCTGTCAATGCTAATGGCTCTCATTTATATAAAACTTAGATCTAGGTTTACAGGAAATGTACATAAAAATGGTTTATAGTTTACCACAAACATACAGGAAACTAGCGCTACATAAAAACTGGTACTTTCCAGGTAAAAAACATTTGCGGCAGATTTTTCGATATGTTCCTGAGGGCAAAAAAAAAAAAAAAAGGGCGCCTTATCACAGCTTGTGGGCTAGAAACTAACGTCCACCCAAAGGCAACATTTGAAGTGCTTGGTAGATACTGAAGAGCAAAGATGCATAATGGCCCCTGCACTCAAGGCCAGGCCAAGGGATAGGCAGAAGAGGCAGCCATCTTGGGAGCTTCAGCAGAAGAAGAGGGGTGGGGGGTGCAAACAGGGAAAGATCAGCAATCTATGCCGCCCAAGTAGCCAAGAGTTCATGATGGCGTGCACTTTGGCCATTTTGCCTTGGGTGGCTCAAGGACCATATCCCACCACTGCCTGCGCTCGACACCCTTCATTTGCACACCTACCACAGCCATGGTGAGGAAGTCTTGCACTGCCAATCTTAACTTTATAGCATTTTATATATCAAAGAACAGAACAAGAGTGGAAATGCCCGGTGGTTTTGCAGGAACAGAGGTGCTGAAGTTTTGGCGTTTCCGAGACATATAAAAGGGCCTATCATTACTTTTTGATGGACTGACCCTTTAAAGAGTTTCTCCGGGTAAGAAGTGAACTCAAATGAAGGGACGCAGTTTAGCGATTTACAACGGTCCGCTCTTAGACCCGGTTCACACCTGGGCGTATTACAGGCCGTATGAACGCACTACAAAACGCCCTACGCCCAAAGTAGTACAGGAGCTTCTTTGGGGCGGTTTTGTCGCGCGTTTCCATTGGGATACAGCCAAGTAGCCCTCGGAAACGCGCGTTTGTTGCACAGTTGTTTTTTTACTGCGAATCGCGCGACAAACGCGCATATTTCATACGCCTAGGTGTGAACCCAGCCTTAAAGTTCCATAGGAGGGATGTGCAATGGTCTAAGACAGGGGTAGCAAACCTCCGGCCCTCCAGCTGTGGTGGAACTACCAATCCCATGAGGCATTGCAAGATTCTCATAGCCACAGACATGACTCCCGAAGAGAGGTGCATCATGGGATTTGTAGTTTCACCACAGCTGGAGGGCCGGAGGTTTGCTACCCCTGGTCTAAGATCTTTTTGAAACCATCTCGGCTAAGAGGGACTTGTTGGTGGGAAAGATTCTGCCACCGATGCCAATTCAGTCTGTAACCCCAGACTACACAACTGTCCGCTCATTATTTCCTATAGGAGGGCTATGCAATGGTCTGAGTCCTTTTCTGAAACCATCTCGGCTAAGAGGGACTTGTTGGTGGGAAAGATTCTGCCACCGATGCCAATTCAGCCTGTAACCTCAGACTACACAACTGTCCGCTCATTAATTCCTATAGGAGGGCTGTGCAAAGGCCTAAGCTCTGATATGGAACCATCTCTGCTGAGAGAGCCTGCTGGCTGGGAAAGATTCTGCTATAGATACCAGTCTGTACGTCAGACTACACAACATCTTGGACTCGCTATAAAAAAAAAAAAAATTGAGCAGATGAACAGAACTTGCACGCAAATTAAAAACAGACTCCCTTCGTATGAGTTTAACTCTTTCCTGCAGAACAGGAAAGCGAACAGGTCAGCCACTTTTTTAACCTCCTGCCTGCGAGGAAGCACCACAAGTTGCCTGCTAGTCTGAGCTCCTTTCTGAAACTAGTCTTACTATAGGTTACTAGTAGATATGTGGTAGCCCTGGACTACGTGGAATAAGAATTGGTTTTGGTGTGAATCCAAAAGAGGGGTTGTCCTCCTTGGAGGAGATTAGCCCATTGGGATAGAATGGTATGTGTAGACCGGGGTCAGACCCTAAGCTGCTGCCTCTCTGATCATCAGAACATCAAATCCTGGATGTGTGGTTGGGAGTGCCTAGTAAGAACGGGGAGCTCCGTTGGCAATTCATTTAAAATGTTTACTTAAAAGGAGAACTATGGGGTTAGGGCTTTTCCCCATAGTTCTCCTTAGGGTAACGGGAGGACACAAACTAGCGTCCTCCCGTCACCCTAGGCTCAGTATACCGCGAGCTACATACTGAGACGCCGCAGCTGAAGCGGATCCCGACAATTATGTCTGGATCCGCCCAGCTGCGTAAGTGACAGCTGGCTCTGCCTATCTAGAGGCAGAGCCAGCTGTATCCGCCCCCTCCCCCGTCCGTTCCGCCAGTCAGCGCTGGCGGGGCGGAGCGGGGAGGGGGGAATCCAGCCCCTCCCCTGTCATGGCAGAGAGCCGTGACAGGATCGAGAGGTGAGCGAGCGCCGGTATGTGTTCTCTCACCTCCCGATCTACTGAGCCGACCTGTGACAGTCTCATTGTCACAGGTCGGCTAGAACTATGAGGATGAGTGAAAAGCACTCACCTCGTTGTTCTCCTTTAACAGGAACATCAGATACAGCGGACGCCCTCTGGGTGATCGGCTTTTCACATTTCAGCACCTACATAATGATACGAGTGATGGCGTGTCTGTGTGACCTGGCAAAAAGGGATTGACACCCCGTTCCATTACAGCCCCAACTCAGGCTTTTCACCAAACTCTACATTGGTTAAAAGGATCATTAAACCCTCGGGGATTTTTTTACACATATCTACTGCGATCAAGCAATAGATATATGCAAAATAATTTTTTTTTAAATGGGTCACCAAATGGGTTTTAACTTGCTTGCGTCTCCGGTGCGCGCTCCCATCCAAAAGGATGAAAAAATCCCGGCCGACCGCAAAGGATCATGGGGCGGGCGCATGCGCATTACAGATCTTCGGCCGGGAGACGAGGCGAGACACAGGGTAAGCCAATGAGTGCAGCCGGGCAGCGTGCACCCGCACAGACTCTGTGGGACACAGAAGACACAGCAGTCAGAGCTGGATCGGAGACCAGCACCAGCGCTGGAGGGACTGCTGGAAACTACAGGAAAGAAGATGATGATCAGATCAAGAGGCATCATTTAAGGTAAGTCCTTACACTAGCACGGGGGTGGGTGGTGGGGGAGATATCCTTTAATGTCACTTTAACCCTCAAATCATTATGTAAGCCTTGAAGCAGGAGGAAGCCTACTCCCTGAAATGCGTCGGCTGTATCTGACATTCTTGTTTAATACACATTTTAAACAAAGATTCTTTTTTTTTTATAGGTGTTTCCAACCAAATTCCTGTCACTAGAAGACAAACTTTTCTAATTTTAGGACTAAGCATCACCAACAGCCCCCACCCCTCGGCCAGTGAAAGTGCCCCTTATCTCCCCACTGTAGAATTCTTGCTTGATGGGGTAGCTGCCACCAATGCCAGGGTCCTAGTAAAGTGATAAGTCCCGCAATGTTTTTTGGGCGACGGCAGGCACCTTACGGGGCTTTAAGGCTTTCCTTTTTTTACATTTAAACCGGCTGACAGGTTAACGGTAAGCAAAACGCTGCAATCAGAAGAGAGAGAGAGAGAGAGAGAGAAGGGAGGAGAATGTGTATTAACCATTTCAGTACAAGATTAAATATATTAAAAACAGACAGGAGTCGCAGATATGATTTGCCAGGTTGGAGATTTTTCCCCCACAGTAAGCACTAAACACCCCTCGACGCGTTTAAAACACAAAACAACCCCCAGAGGAAACCATATTCCACGGAAAGAGTGATTTAGCCCATTCTGTAAACAATATAAAAACGACAAAAATGAGAGAAAACATACATACAATAAGTTAAAGACGATATAAAGAAAAATCGGGCAACTGTGAAAAAAAGTTATACGATTAGTGAGGAGGGAGAAGAGACCATTGAAACCCCCGACGACGCGGCAGCGACCATATTGTTTCCTTAACCACGTGACTATAAAAAAATGGCTGGCGAAAATGCACAGGATGTCATCAACAGACGATCACTACCAAGTAACGTTGGCAACTGATCAGAACTGCGCTGGCAATTTATCAATGACATAAAAAAAATAATAATACATCAAATAAAAAAAGCGCTTCAACAAGCAACTGATATTTTTGACATAATAAAAAAAAAAACAACAACAAAAAAGCTAAATGGCTATGTTTCCTCTATTAGCAAAAACACATAATGCAGTCTTAATAAATTTGCCTTTTCATTACATATACATATACATAGATAGAGAGAGAGAGAGAGAATGATACATCTATATCTACGGCCTCTTTCTAGATATAGATATATACAGGAACACGACATGGATGCGTTTTTGTACAGTGTATGGGGAGTTGCGTGGGACTTGCATTAGACCATGGCACGGTAAGGACCTTGCATCTTCAGGAACTGGATAATAAAGGAGGGCCCGCCGGCCACAATTTGGGGTGGCAGGTGGCTGAGAGGACAGTTCTCGATACTCATGATTGACAGTTTGCTGCACAGGGCCAGCTCAAATGGGAGGCCGTGCAAATTGGGGTTGTCATTGAGATACAGCTCCTCCAGGTTCTCCAGTGTACCTGTGGATGGGGGAAAGAACACAAGTGTTATGGTCATGATTCCTTCCATTGCTCAGGAGCGGGATAACACTTTTGGGAACTAAATATTTTCGGTTGTGTTTTTAAGCTAAACAAAACAAGGCATCTGGTGTTTATAAATCCCAACTGAGGGACACTAAGGCCCCCAAGTCAAAGGGGATCTGCCGTTCCCTAGGCCACTACTAAT